ACTGAGCCAAACGTGTCGTTAAAGTATTAATCAAATATATTTGTGTTTCTCTTTTTTGTGTCCCATTTTCGTTTTGTCGAGTTTCAAATTCCAACGATTCTAAAGAAGTTTCACTCCAAAAACAGTTATTGAAAAATGTGCTAGTAATCTATAAAGCTTTGAAATAGATATAACCAATGCAGTAATGTGTTCAAGGAATCGTGCCCACCACTCTATTTCACAAATCGTTTGGCATCGCGTAATTAGCATTCGTGGAACTCACAATTAAATGTGCATTTAACTGTCGGTTAAAATTACGGTTTCATTATTTGAAATCTTATTATTTATCAAAGCTATTTAATTACTTTTTAACTCAATAGGACTTCTAATTTCGAAATTAGTCTAAAATGAATTATTACACCATGAGGGGTTGTTTTAATTTATAAGTAAACTAGCGGCTCGCCCAAAAAAACGGAAAAATAAAAACAAATATATCCTACGGGAACCGTACATTTTTCCGGGATTATAAGTAACCTATGTGTTATTCCAGACTATATCTCCGTGACAAATTTCATCCAGATCCGTTCAGCCGTACTGGCGTGATTACGTAACAGTAGAAGGCGTCGTGTAACATACAAAAACATATATCCAGGGTAAATTAAATTCTTTTTAGAAGTCGGTCATAGTGCTTATTAAGTTACTGTTATCGTTTTTGGCCCATAAAAATAGCTATATGTGTATAAAAATCACATCGAACCATTTTTGCGTTTAGGAATAACAAACTCACTTTTGTTTATAATATTAGTAAAAACTATATATAATATAGACGTAGCCAAGGCTATATATTGCGAATCTCGCTGGTTTGATTTTGACAAGGAACAAACATACTCCATCGTGTTTATACTGACAATACATAACTGCTTGAAAAAAAAAAGTTCAAAACTCTACAACGGACATTAATTAACATCAAACTACTCACTATATTTAACACAAGTCATTAAATATAAATACGAAAATAAAGGCATTTTATTTTGTAGTAAAAAGATGAAAGAAAATGGGTAAGAATAGAAAATAAAAAAAATTATTTCAATCAACCTTTTATTGGTTTACAAATTACGTCTCCATCTACCAAACGTCTATCCACAAGAGCTTCTCCGCAACCGCATCATTTCAATTTAAATTATAATAACACTATAAAAATAATACATAGGATTACATAGAATAAAATTCGGCATTTAAAAAAGAATCTTTTATTTGAAATTCGGCAATAATGGAATCTATTTTATATTAAAAAATAACTGATATCTACATTTTGGTGTTGCAACTGGGGAAAAAATACACATACCTATGTTTAGTGTTGCCAAATGACAAAGAATTATTCCTTTACATAATATAAAGAAAGACAAACGATTGAGCAGTAAAAAATAAATAAAGAATAAAACTACTTAACAAATCTACGGAATTGATAAACTTATTGCAAACATTTCAAGACATTTTAAATATTTTTATTTAATGCCACTCATTTTTTTGATTGGATTAAAATTTGACACTTAAGAAGAGCTCTACGAGTATATTTTCAATATGTTAGATTTTTATATATTTTTCTACCAAAAATTTCATATTGCTAAAAAATATTAACAAAATTTGTTCCATTAAAATGTGCAATAATTTTTAATTATATGAATAAGCCTTCTAAGTGCTTAGTTTGAATTTTGGATACTAAGAGAACGCAGTAATTTTGTCATTTCTGGTGGTGGTTTATTTTTGGATATATTTTATCAATTGCTAATTTATTATGTAAAGATTTTCCGTTTAGTTGTACATACAATATGGGACGGACATTTCGCATGAAAAAACAACATGTTCAGATATGCAAAAGCTTTATAATTTGTATTGATAGTGTCTTAAGTTACCAAAAATACAAAAAAAAGTAATTTAAATCATATAAAACTGGTAATTCAATTAATGAGATAGCAATATTTTCATATTTTTTTACTATAAGAGAAGAAGAAAATTTAGAGGAAAATTATTGAAATGCCATATATATTTTTATTTATGTACTTATTAGTTGTGGAAATTCAAAGACATTTTGCACCATCATTAAATAAAGTATAAATTATATTATTAAATTGATTTTTCCAACGCAGTGAAAAAACGTCTTTTAGGCGCGATATGTACAAAATTAACATTAGCTAAAAACACATTTTAATTTAATTTTTATTTTAAATCAATTTATACATAATGAATATTTGGCCCTACACTACAGAAGTGTCTAAATAAAAATAATATATTTTAAAAATAATTTTCATTTTACAGTTATATAATAAAACTTCTATTTAAAATCTGTCCAAAGTTCTCACTGACTGTCTTTTGAATTAATAATATTTTTTTTGTTGTGATTTTTTCAGATACTTTTTTTCTTTTTTTTAACATTTAATTTTGTCTTAGACATAGAATATAAGAATTATTAAAATAAAGTGATATTTTTAAACTAAAAATTAAGATGGTACTTATTAAAAATTTTACAAATAGTGTGCGAGTACGTAATTCAATAAAAATATATAACACTCGTGAATGATGCTCATATTATTATTACAATACACCAAAATATACACTAAATATTTTTTTACAATAATCTATATTATATTTCAAAAAATTATGACTATAACGGGCATCGAACCCACAACTATCTTTTAGAAGCCGAATAGACATAGCCTAAGAATTAACAAGACTATTTCACATTTTACACCAACATATCTACAATGGGTTGTTTAAAAATTGAAAAAAAATTGAAAGGGTCAAAGTAACAATATTTAATATTGCCTAAAATTAAACCAAGTATAAAACCGTTATCACATTTTCAATTATTAACAAAAATCGAAAATTATTTCTGTGGTATGAAGGTAAAAAGGGATGAGTGATAAAAATTTAAAAATGAGTTATTGATATGATTATTTGTTTTAATAAATAAAAATATGATTTTAATTACCATAAAAAGGCACCAGTTTTAAATGAAAAAAACATAACAAACTAAAAATGAAAAAAAAAATACAAACAACCTTTTCTTTTCTTTTGTTAAAATACATTTATGTTTTGAAATGAATAAGCGTAAAAATTTTTCGCCTCTGGTGAAAAGTTGTATTTATTGACTCATCCCCTTTTATCTCTACACTACAGATTTAAGCCATGTTTAATTAGAATAAAAGTCCTAACTTATTCTAATGTCAACTTTACATTTTGCCAATGTATGGCCGGTAAAGGAATAATGGACCATTTGGAGGTAATTTTTGCCAAATAGAACACAGAACATATATTCCAAATAGAAAGGCAGCATATAATCAAAATACTAATATTATAAAAGTGAAAATTTGTCAAGAAGGATGGATGGATGTTTGGTAAGCTTTCACGTCAGAACGTCTGAACGGATCTGGATGAAATTCGGCACAGAGATAGATTATGGTCTGGAATAGTAGATAGGTTACTTACTATCCCGGAAAAACGTACTGTTCCCGTGGGATAGATTTTGTTTGTTTTTGACGAGGGGGAGTCGCTAGTCAAAATATATGTATGTCTATTTTCAACGAAATAACCTTTCTACATGCTGTTTTCTTTACTAGCGATAAGAATACGACATAATTTGTAATAATTGTAAGGAGCTTATGTTAAATTTCTTTCTAGTAAAGAAAATCACAGATAGCTTATCGGAAACCGTTATATATCATGCAATTTATACTTACTAACCGAATGTGCGCTCTAGTCGTGTTATTTTGTAAGAATAATATTAATAGGTTTTTCTATTAGCGGCAAGAAAATTTACTTTAATTTCATTCACTATTTAATCTTTATATAATATATTGAAGTCCGCATACAATAAAAGTGTTAGAACTGACAAGTAAGTAGAAATTTAAACTGTTGTTATTTTTTAACTATAGATTAAAGATTTCCGTACAGGTTTTTTAGGGAATTCCCTAAAAAGCCCTCTAAGACCTAATCACCAAATATAATAAATTATGAGTATTTTATGCGAATGTGATTTGCTGTTCATTATTTCAATGCATTTTTTTTAATTCCTCAAATATATTGATAAAGGCAAGATTTATTTACAAACAAATAATAAATAGTACTGTAATATTTATGACTTAACCGTTTCAGTTGAACACAATTTATTTTCTTTTATTATAGATGTAAAAAGTAAAGTAGATTTTAGTTTATAATAAACTTATTTGATAAGCTAGCTCCATTTTGGAAGAATTTATATTAAACTGCTATTTAGATAGATTATATGATTATCCACACATTACTATATTTCCTGTACTATCTATAATGCAACTTAGCCATAATCAAATACATTCAACTACAATTTCTTAATTATAGCTTGTAGGACTGTATAATATTAAGTATACACAATTTACCTTGTGGAGTAAAAAATCAATTAAAAAAACATTTTTAAGTAGCTGCAGATAAAGTACCCTGTGTAAATCCTTAATCCCCTTTTTGATTTTGTATTAGGGAAATAAAAATAGGTTAAATCAGAAATAGGGTAATTAATTACAAAGCAATCATATTGTGATTGGTTGCCGGTGCTATTAGTAGTAAGTTCATATCCCGTACAGGGTAACTCTCTATCTATACAGATAAATAAAATCTAAAAAGTTTATCTGTTTTAATGTGTATCTGTTTGTTGCGGGTAATCTCCGAAACAGCTGGACCGATTTTGATGGGACTTTCACGGGCAGATAGCTGGTGTTAAAAGAGTAACTTAGCCTAAGTTATATATAACTAATATTTTAGAAAAATAATTAAGAGTTTCGCTCAATAAAATTAAAACGTACCTAGGGATGCAACAAGGCGAAGCAACCGGGTAAATTTCTAGTATAGCATTCAGAGGAAATCGACATAGATCTTAGCCTACATAAGACGAATAAAGATTTAGAGTTATTTAATTAGCCTTTCTATTAGGAATACATATGCGTGTCTGTCATCATCATCATCACAAGTCCATAGCAACAGTCACTAGTTCAGTTATTGGATACAGCCTGTTTGTGCCTCCGATGGTCGTAGTTCACCAGCCTCTGGCCGACTAGATACTTGTCGTTCTTTATGTGCTCGTATAACTTGCGGAATTGGCGTATCTGTGGAAATGTGTAATATTATTTATTTATTTATGTACTATAAAATATACATGTGTTATACAAAATAAATTAACAGAATGTTGCCAAAGGATAACTTATATCTCTAAAAGATTTCTCCCAGAAAACCTTCAGAAGTGAGAAAATAAATATATTTAGTGATTAACTTCTTGTTACAATATAATAATATTAATTATATTGTAAGAAGTTAGTGTTACTAAGGTACGACAAAAAATTAGAGTTGACAAAATCAGCATTGACTTGGACTCTTAAAGAACACGAGTTATTAGTTTTTATTAAATCATATTTTTAATGAAAAAAAAAATTAAAGCTAAGGAATGTGATAAAACATTCGTATTTATTGAATGTAACATATATTTGAAATAATTTATTGATATATGTGTATATACATATATGTGCGTGATTGTATCTGAAACAGTAGTAGCACAACAAATGCGACGAGTAGCTTCTCGTGTATATTCTTGTGCGTGTATGTAGGTATATAATATGTATATCGCAGGTAAATTGGAAAAACCGTAAAAAAATCCTATCAATAAATGGACCAATCAAAACCATCCACCGCATCCAAGTATTGCTACTATTGGCAATTTAACTAAGGTAATTATTATTATGATTAACAATGTTGCTGAACGTGCTTAGTGAAATTATAGTATACTTACGTCGATCAAAGAAAGTACTACACAATCCCATGCAAAAGTTCTCTTAAAACAGTCACCAATTGTGTTTAGGTAATTATTCTAGTCGAAAATTGAAATAAATATACAACAATGTAAATTCAACCTTAAATGCAATGTTGAAAGATGTTTTCACAAAAAAAATTAAAAGCGCGCTCATATGTTCAAATGGGCGTTCATTCGGTGAGGACATTTTTTGTCGCTATACATAGTAGTTTTTTGATCGATGTATGGTTAACATATATGTATGTGTGTGTGCGTGTACCTGGAAGAGCAGCAGCACCGCGAGCACGGCGAGCAGCAGCAGCGCGGGGTAGACGCGGCGCGCGAGCAGGTTGCGCTGCGCGGGCGGCAGCAGCGGCGCGGCGGAGTGCGCCAGCGCGTACGGCACCGCCAGCGCCAGCCCCAGCCACCGCACCAGCGGCGCCGCCACGCTGCGCAGGATGAACCTGTCACAAGTACAACGGACGGATACATAAATAAAATAACATAACAAAATATATCGAATTGATGGATATATGGAAGAAATGTGTAATAAAGTTATAATGTGGGCTAGCTGTAATATTTAAAAGAACAATTATTGAGTTTCCCGCCGGCTCTTTTCAACAGAACTGCCTTCAGAGCCTCAAATGACTTTTCCAAAAGAGCATGTGTAAGTCTAATTCAAGAAAGTTTAATCTGAACAATGTTTTGACGACACGTTTGGCTCGGTTTGTGGTGACCCTACTTGCTGTGCCAGCGGTCGCGAGTTCGAGTCCCGCTAGGGGCATTCATTTGTATGATGAACACGAATGTTTGTACTCCAGTCATGGGTGTTTATATTTACAATATGTATGTATTTAAAGTTATATATGTGTAGTGTATAAATTATCCAGTATCTAAAACACAAGCCTCGTAGCTTACCATGGAACTAGATGGTGCTGTGTGTTAATGTCCTAACATATTTATTTATTTATTATTTATTAACCTAAACTGATACATCATTTATTACTCACTTAAGATCCATCTCCCGTATCCCGTCCCTGTACGCCTTTTCTATGGCGCGCCGCATTCCCCAGTCGGGGCCCATCATGGTAAGAGCGCACACTATCTTGGTGTAGAGCACGCCCAAAGCCCAGTCCTGCCACACGAACAGTACCGGCGACTGCTCCAACGGCACTCGCAGAGGGATCACTAGCACCTACGGACGGATATATTTCAATATAATATCTATACAAATAAACAAAATTGAAGTGTTCGTTTGTAATGTCAAAATAACAGCTTTTTACTGAATGCATATGAAATTATATACGCTACCTATGTATAAAAAAATTTGTAAGTTTTGTTTGAATTTTTTGTCTGTCTGATTGTTCCGGCTAATCTCCAAAACGACTGGACTCATTTTAATGGGACTTTCACTGACAGATAGCTGATATTATAAGGTATAACTTAGGCTACTTTTATTTAAGAACAAACGACGCACCCGAGCGAGGCGAGGGTAAGTTGTTAGTTAATATTATAAATGCGAAAGTTTAGATGGTTTTTTGTTACTGATTCACAACAGAACGGCTTAACGGATCTAGATAAAATTTGACATAAAGATCTATAGTCTGGAATAGCACACAGATTAGTTTTTGCCCCGGAAAATGTGGGATTCCTGTGGAGTCCATTTGTTTTTATTTTTCACTAGGGACGAACTGAACGATGTGAGGGTGAATTGCTAGTACATTTACGAGTATATTTCTTTCATTTTAATAAAACTATCTTTTCTGATTTTTTCGCGAATATATTTGGTTTTTGATTCTCGACGTTTCGAATGCTTTACAGTTTTTGCTCTGACATTTTCATCTACGAATTATTTTCAATATGATTACAAATTATCTTACAGTGAAGGAAAATATCGTGAAGAGACCTGCATGTCTGAGAGAACCCAACAAATTATCGAATAACATGTGAAGTGGGCCCGCACTTGGTCAGCGTTGTAGATTATGGCCTGATCCCTCTCGTATTAAAGAGAGGCCCACCCCCAGCAGTGGGACGTTAAAAGGGACTGAATACATAAATAAATACATTATATTATCACAGTATAAAATCGTGTATAGATTTTTATCAGCAATTAAACCTAACCAAATACTACATTTACATAACCAACTTACCAATTCCAATAACAATCCAAACATCAACGGCACGAGACCCAACAGTGCTAGGGCAGCTAGGGCAGCCCTGGCCGCCCTACGTGCCCATAGCGCAGCCCTAGCGAGTAGGGCAGCGCGGCCTCCCCTGGCCCACCCCGCTGCTAGGGCTCCGCCCCGCCCGGCCGCCCAACATACGTACATACCTGAGAAAAATATACATTTATATAACTAGCGGCTCACCCTCGCTTCGCTCGGGTTCGTCGCTAGGTACGTTTTAAATAGATATAAAAAAAAAAAATCTTTCTTTCTCACATTTTAATTATATGTTTTAATACTTACCTATTCCGGACTAAGAGAAATCCAAAAATTAAAATATCATAAAAATTTGAACGCGGTCGAACGGGATAAAAAGTATCCTATGTCCTTCTCCTGGCTCTAAACTACCTCCCTGCCAATTTTCAGCTAAATCGGTTCAGCCGTTCTTGAGTTATAAGCGAAGTAACTAACACGACTTTCTTTTATATATATAGATTACTAAATAGTCATTGACCTCCAAGAACTAAGACGATTAAAAAAGGGTCAAAAATGGCCAAAATTGTCCTAACGTAATTAGTGAATGACCCCTAACTTCTTCCATGGCCTAGAGCATATATAATTTCTTGATTCATGTCGGTCTAATAATAACTCACCGCAAGCCGCCGTATACAGTTCGTGGACGCCGTCCGACGCCTTCGGCAGCCATATTGCCATCACTTTGCGCCCAATTGCTACTGGTATTACCTATAGAGATAAAATTACAACAATTATTCACATTTAAAAACATTTATTTGCTTTATTTTTATTTGACGACACGTTGGGCTCAATTTGTAGTGAGTTGTTACTTTACCAGCGATCACGGATTCGAATCTCGCTGGGGGCATTCATTTGTGTGATGAGCACGAATGTTTATACTCCAGGCATGGGTGTTTATATTTATAATGTATTAAAAGTATATGTATGTATTTAAAGTTATTTATACGTAGTGTATCAAGTATCTGGTATCCATAACACAAGCCTCGTAGTTTACCATGAACTAGATGGTGCTGTGTATGAACGTCCCAACATATTTATTTATTTATTATTTATAAATTATATTTATTTATCTTTTTACCCAACTGTCACCACTGTTTTTACCCAAATCACTACTATTGAAGTATTAGTTACAATATTATGATATTGCCAGACGAATATATTAATATTACCTAATCCTGAGAAATATCGGTATTAAACCATCTTTACTCACAAGTGTCAAAGCGCTCGCCATGACGAGCGAGACGGACACGAGGGCCAGCAGCGCGGCGAGCCGCAGCGGGAACCACGCCACGCGCACGTACGGCTCGAAGCCGGCGGGCCCGTCACGCCACATTAGCGCCTGGAAACAAGCAATTACACTAATTATATTTAAACAGATAAATAAAATTGAAGTATCTGTTTGTCAATGTAATGTCAAAATAACAGCGTTTTACTAAATGCATATGAAATTATATACGATACTTATAAGAAAAACACAACTTTTTAAATTTTTGTCTGTCTGTTTGTTCCGGCTAATCTCCAAAACGGCTGGGCCCATTTTGACGGGACTTTCACTGGCAGGTAGTTGATGTTATATGAAGCAACTTAGGCTACCTTTATTTCAGTAAACCTAGAGACGAAGCTGAGCGAGGAAGCGAGGGCCAGTCGCTAGTATTAAATAATATAGCAAAATTCATCTATACTAATATTATGAAGAGGTAAAGTTTGTGAGTTTGTGACTTTGTAGAGAGTAATCTCTGCATCTACTGAACTGATATAGATAAAATTTGGAAAGAAGATAGTTTGAGATCCTAAGGAGGACATAGGTTACTTTTTATCCCGGAAATCATCCTTTAAGGGGGTGAAAATGGGGATGAAAGTTTGTATTGGAAAGCAAGCTATATAATAAATACAAACGAAGATTCTTGTGATAGTGAATAAATACATAATATAATATTAATGACTTTATTTTGATTTGAAATAATTAAATTGATTTTTATCCATTAAACTATATATATTGAAATATATTAAAATTCATTCTTACTCCACTGTGAATACACCTTTACCCTGCAGTGGCACTTGACAGTCGTCAACTATTTTCTTAACGCGAATGGACTATAATGAATTATATATCAATACTTGCTTCAGTCAAGTGCAAGTTGCAACTAAGTAAATAAAACAGTAAAATATGTGTTACTCCAAATCATAGGCTATCTGCGTCGTAAATTTCATTCAAATCCGTCCAACTGTTGCAGCGTGAAGAAGTAACAAACATACAAACAAACACATACAAACTTTCGCATTTAAAAAATAAGTCAAATAAAATTCATTTAAAATAACTTGGAGATTATTATTCGAACCTCTTTTAATCAGACAAAATAGTTAAGTTGAAATTAGTTAAAAAAAAATATGTAAATAAGTACGTACACAAATACGTATTTACATATGTCCTTCATACCATTCTTTACTATAATTATAGTGCAATTCAACATAGAATAGCGAAATCCGTAAAGAATATTCGACTTTTTTTTAACTACGTTTGCACGAGAGAGGAGTTTTTCCGCCTTCATTATATCAACTTTAAATGTAATATCACAAACTACCAAATTTAATAATATAATATAATTTTTACCAAATTTTGTGTGAGAAATATTTAAACCACGCATAGGAAATATGACTTTTGTAAAGTTTTTTCTTTGACTAAAGCAAATTGGGATAATAAATACTTATTTCGTTCAACCAGCCAGTTCAGACCAACTTAAGATATAGAGACAACTTAACATAAGAAATAGGAACAATTCAGCTGTATTTTTGTGTATAAGTACGTTATGCGGCGTCTTCGCCAATAGAGATTTTTTTATATAGTATTATACTGAAAAAGGCAAATATAGAAACATTTTTGGATTTCTTATCAATCTGATGGTACTTATTTTTATACTCTACAGTTAAAAATGTGATACGTGTACTCAGCTATTTTTTTTTTATCTATTTCACCGAAGCATAACTTATTTGCTACAAATTAAATGATGTTCTCCTAGCCGATTCCGGCTACGGCGGCCAATCTCATTGAGACTAGCCAACTGCGCAGGAGATATTATAGTGCTCAAGTGTACGCGCAGACACAAGTGCACTCTCTATTCCTATCACTCTCATACTCCGGTGGGACGACCACTCGACACGACCGGTGAGAGTTAAGGCGCAGGACCGACGGCTTTACGTGCTCTCCGAGGCACGGGGGTGAAACACCGCCAACTTCCCAACTTCGGGCTGTTACTGAGACTTACTATACAGAAAGACTCAATAACTAAACATGGCCCGACCCGGGACTCCAACCCAGGACCTCCGGGTGTGCAGCCGTACATGCTAGCCACTACACCACCGAGGCAGTTACAAATTAAATACGAAATACATAACAAAACTATAATTACCCTGTGAGCAGCCCCAAGCTGATGTGGGGGGTGTGGCGGGGGGTGAGGTTCATTCTCCCTAGAGGCCTCACCCAGTAAGTACGACCGGAGGCCCAGGGCTCCAGCGGCACACGCACACCACGCACGAAGCCCGGCTTTCAACCATGTTCGTGTATGAGACTGTTCAAGAAGAGCTGGAAGGATCACCTGCAGAAAGAGCTAAGCTTATACTAAAATCGTAGCAATTTCATATCAATAAATTAAATAGTATTGTAAAAGTACCTAGTCGGTTGAAAATGTATATATATATACACCGTAGACAACCAAAGTGGATATTTAAAAGAAACATTAAATATTTAAAGGAATATTTATAAACCCCATTTTAAAATAATAGAAAAAAAAACATTATTTTTCATTAATTTGTTTGCCAAACCCGCAAAATGAGTCAGATTGAGCTTTACTCTTAATGTAAATATCAAAAAGTCAATTATTTGGAGCAATTCTTGTAAGAAAAGCATTACCTATATACATACGCGAAGTGCCCCTTAGGTATTAACACTGGTTTTATATGCAGAATATTAATAGCATACAGAAAAAAAACATTCACACGCAAATGGACTAAACAAACCCACTCTAGCATAGCACAATTCTCAAACGCTAACTCTAATATAAAGCTTAACACATTCTCTAACGCGATGTAGAATGTTGATTGCTCACTGAAAATTGCTTACTTACCAAATGAGTAATGGTTAGGAAAGCCCAACAACTCGTTTTCTTCTTCATTCTTTACGCCTATTATATGTAAATATTTCATTACAGCCAAAGTAAATATTATATATACATAAGTACATCTATGTATATCTAATCTATATATAATACTGAAAAACGTGCTAGTCTCTGGATCCTGGATCTACTGGTCCAAAAATATTTCAAATTATATACACAAACCTTCCTCGTTAAACGCTCTTTCTATTAGTGAAAACCCTATCAATATCCGTCACATGGTTAAGAAGAAATAAGCGGAAAAACAGACAGACGCAGAAAGGGATTTTATTTTATACTATGTATTTGTAGATACATCACACTACAACATACGAGAACGGACTGCGAAATAATTCTACAAAATTAATGTCGCGGGCGAAGTCGCGAGAAAACGCTGGTTATATAATAAGTAATAAATACTGTGCTCGGTGCTTTAACCTTTCAAGGTGAGACATAAATTACTTTTATTTCGGCATTTAATGATTTCTGTGGTTCTAAAGCAAAAAATGAACAAACGTCAATTATGATGAATGAGCACCTGAACAAAATGAGGTCTCTAGTTTAGTTTTATATATGTACTAGCATTGCCCGTGGCTCCGCCCGCGTTCACATGACCAAAAACCAAATTCTTAGGTTTTACTTATTAGTATACTCTTACATTGCAGTTTTTATATTTTTTCTCAAAAATGAGATATTTTCCCGCGGTAAAAAGTATCCTATATGTTGACCCGGATAACCAACTATCACCATACCAAATTACATCAAAATCCCTCCGGTGGTTTTTCTGTGATGCGGTAACAGACGCCTGTCTGAGACAGACAAAAATTCTAAAAACTATAGATTCGGCCCCAGTATCGATAATAATGTTTATTTCAATAAGATTTTCCAAAAAATATTTAATGTACAGATTCGGCTTAGTTACAATTTTATTATGTGTATAGATGTATATATGCATTTGTTATTCTTTTTTTGTGATATAGTTTCAATTTTAAAATATTTTTTTAAATCTAATACATATATAAAATTCTCGTGTCACAGTGTTTGTAACAAAACTCCTCCGAAACGGCTTGACCGATTCTTATGAAATTTTGTGTGTATCTATATCCAGTAGTTCTGAGAATAGGATATAAACTATTTTTCATACCCATAAGTGATAAGGTCCACTCTAGGGACGAATCCGAGCGAAGCGAGGGTGAGTTGCTAGTAATCTGATAAATATGTAAAATATGTAAAAACTAAGAATTTGGTTTTTGGTCATCTGAACGCGGGCGGAGCCGCGGGCAATGCTATTACTACAAATAAACTTAGAAAATAGGTTTTAAATACTTAAAAGAAAATATTCTAAAATTATAACTGAACAGTGTAATGATGACGTACAATATGACCTTTAAAGGTGAACATTCTAGTGCATTTTTAAAGATGCAACAGCTGTCAATGTAGGATAAATAAATTATTAAGAAATTATTATACGAGTATCTATGAGATTAGCTAAAGTATGTATATATTAAAATAAATATGTGTTTTGTTTGTTAATTTTATATCGTATGCTTTTCGAAGTTTCGGTAAATAGTTGTCTATGAAGATCCGACTGACTTGACTGTAAGAGACTTAGTAAATTATGAAAGCATCAACGAATGAAGAGTACGTAAGATGTTTAGGATAGGTTGTAAATTTATTAACCAACTTTACAAAAGACTATGTTTTTTCCGCTGTTAGAAATAAGGATATAATATTATTTTTTCTACTTTCAGCCATAATTTTATTATTACAAATAGTTTTTTAAGGTAAAATACTACTTAATGAATACATAGAGTTCAATAAGAAGGGAATTTTCATATAATATATTTTTTTAAATTACAAAAACTACTTTAAGACTAATTCAAGATTCCTTTAGGTAATATAAGAAGGAATACTATTATCAAATAGGTACAAGGCTATAAATGTACGTGATCAATTGATAGTAGCGACACCCGAAATAAGCTGAGGAGCCATAGCCATTGCAATAATAATAAACAGCCTCATTTTTGAAACTACGCCTACAAATTTTGTTCTTATTATTTTTTATTTAATTTAAGATTGTCATGAAATAAGTACTGGACTCACGTTTACATTTAATTTTGAATATAAAACGATGTATAGATAAGTATCTATACATATAATAAAATTGTGTGTAAGCCGAATCTGTACATTAAATATTTTTTGGAAAATCTTATTGAAACAAACATTATTATCGATACCGAATCTATAGTTTTTAAAATTTTTGTCTGTCTGTCAGACAGGCGTCTGTTACCGCATCACAGAAAAACCACCGGAGGGATTTTGATGTAATTTGGTATGGTGATAGATGGTTATTCGGGTCAACATATAGGAGTCTTTTTGCCACGGGAAAATATCTCATATCTGAGAAAAAATACAAAAACTGCAAAATCAGAGTATACTATTATTATGTAAAACCTAAGAATTTGGTTTTTGGTTATCGGAACGCGGGCAATGCTAGTCTTAAATATGATAAAAACTAAAAACATACATTACAGGTTTAGCCCAACTCTATTGTATGGGTCTTGTCAAAATGAATTAAATGAGCCCAAAATTGAATTATTTACTAGCTTCAGGAGAGTACCACTAGTCATCTCACGGTTCTATAGATAAGATTCAAATGGATACGATAATAATAAAAACTAGGTTACAATTGACTTAGAAGATTTGATCACATAGTTACAAGTGAAAATAATAAAAGCGTATGAAATATATATGTATATACTATATAGTAATTAGTATACCAACTAATACCTAATATCTAACAAACAAAATTTTTAGTACGTAATACTTTCCTAGGTTTACTCAAATATTTGACATTTATAATAAAACTATCTTTTCGGATTTTTTCTCGGATTTATTTAATTCAAAGTAAATCCACGAAAAAGTCCGAAAAGATAGTTTTATTTATAATCCTTAGTACGTTCTATAAAGTCAGTCAGTCAGTCAGAAAACGTCTTATAAGATCGAGGAATGAATATCATCTTAAGTATTTTTTTTCTACACTTCTCTTAAGGAAAATTAAAGAAAAGGGAAACAACATCAGACCATATAGTGAAACAAGAAATATAATTTTAAATCTAATCTGCTTTTTAAAAAAAAATCGAAACATTCGAAACTCGGTTGTTATCCGAAACCACACTTTGCTGAACCCAATACCCAGACCTTTTACATACACATTTGCCCCAAGCGAGAATCATACTAACGAAATTCGTTATAAGAAGCAATGCCAGCATCAAAATCATCGGTCGATGACTGATAAATATAGCAGAAGATAAAAATACATATACGTATAACAAACATTAAGTCTAATCCAACATAATCAAAAATACATAAGCTAATGTAATCGCGTTTTGATAACGCAATTATATCATCGTTATATTGTTCATGAAAATACAAAAAAAATCAATTTTTGTTGTATAACATCTTTTTATAAAGTACCTACCTGTGTAAGTATATGTGTGTACTGTAGATATTCCGAATATGACTTAAATCCGTTGAGCCATTATAGCGTCAAAAACAAACACAGACATACATATATACTTACTTACTTTTGTATTCATAAGTAGCTTTATAATAAAATAAACGTTTCTATACATATAATAAAATTCTGAGTCAAATCTGTACATTAAATACTTTTTGGAAAATCTTATTGAAATAGACATTATTATCGATACAGAGGCTGAATCTATAGTTTTTAGAATTTTTGTCTGTCTGTCTGTCTGTTACTGCATCACACAAAAACTACTGGACAGATTTTGATTTTTGATAGCTGATTATCTGGGTTAACATATAGGATACTTTTTACAGCAGAAAAAATACAAAAACTGTAATGTAAGAGTATACTAAGAATTTGGTTTTTGGTCATCTGAACGCGGGCGGAGCCGCGGCTAATGCTAGTCTATGTATAAATATGATTCTTTTAGATTTATTGAAGTGAAACTTCTTTAGAATCGTTGTGATTTGAAACTCGATGAATCGAAAATGCGACCCTAAAAAGAGACAAACCCATAAATATATAGGATTAGGCCGGCGAGGAAATGAGATAGAATAATTGCCATGTTGACATGGTACCCGTTGTTATTGTCTGACATATATATAATATTACATTCTTTTCGTATATGATATTCTATAAATATATGATTGTAATATGCCTAATATGCCTTATTTAATTATTGATTTGTTTTAATTTAATTACGATATTTGCCAAAGAAGTTTTACTTCACCGCGCGTAAACGCATCCATTTTTTAAATTTAATGGCGATATAAATACGGTCGAAGGTCTATAAAGAGCTCTGAAGGGAAAAGTTAGTTAAATTACGAAAATCTTTGAAATCTATACCAAATATACATATTATATACTAGCTGCTCACCCTCGCTTCGCTCGGGTTCGCCTCTAGATAAACACTGATAGAGATCTATTAGTTCCCACGCGAACCGTTCATTTTTCCGAAATGAAAAGTAACCTGTTGTTTGACCGGCAATATAAGGTATCAGAATGTTAAATTTTACTAAATTAGGTGCATAAGTTGTTGTGTACTAAGCTGTATAAGATACTATAGTTTTTTAACTATCCCACGGGAACTATTTAATTTTCCAGGATAAAACGTATTTAAGACGTTGCCCGGGGATATAAGGTACCATCATGCAAAATTTCATTTAAATCGGTCCAATAGATTCGGAGATTAGCCCGTACAAACAGACAGACAGAGAAACAAAAAATTTGAAAAAAAAAACTGGATTTGTTCTATTTGTCTTCTTACATCCCCCTGACTCGGTTTTTAGCTTTTTTTTTGCTATGTACAGATATTAGACGTTATTATAGTACTGTTTTATTATAGTATAGATAATAACACCTAAATCGTTCCACGCAACATCCCTAATGATGTTAATACATTACACAATCACTCAACACTGTTACCATTAATGATTAATGAATATAAACTACGCAAGCATGTACCTTACATATTAAGTTATTAACAAAAAATTCTATCGTACGAGAATCGAACGAGCGATACACCACCTGCCCACTCACCTGCCCCATAAGCTAACACGTCACTAGCAAAATCAAACATTTTTAAAGAAACCAATCCTACCTGTAATAAAAGTAATTCCAGGCTCAATTCATTGACCGGTGCTTCTGCATGGACAGCCACAGCGTAAGGAAGGAAGCCGGGAAGGACGTTCTTAATCACTCTTATGGGAAGCCATAGCATAAACAGCACAGCTGTACCAAACACCATGGCCGACACGACGAGCCGACGGATGTGCGACCATACGGACAGATGAATCATTTCCTAAAAACATTATACGTATTAATCGATTCTATATCTACTAATTTGAACATAATAATTACGATAAAAGCAATGGTAGCCCAGTGGTAAGGCGATCGCAGAGTTATGGATTATTCTTATTCTCCTCGTACACGTGCCCAGAAGTGGGACGTTAAAAAGGGCTGGTTACAATAATTATAATAAAATCCACACTAAAATTATAAATGTATGACTATTTGTTTGTTACATTGTCACACAGCACGCCTAAGCCACTGGACCAATTTTGATAAATTTTGTATAGAGACAGATTGGACCTTGGAGAAGGACATAGGCTACTTTGGGGTGCATCCAAACGATTTTCGAGCGATCTTGTGACGTCCCAATAAGACAGGGGAGGTTCCATTAACGTCATATTATATTTTCGTGTAATATATTATACTTCATTCTTAATCTAATATATTATTCTTCAATTCGTGTAATATATTACACGTCTTATGTTATAGTTTCAGTGGGTTGTACTGGCATTTTTAACCGGTGAGACCCACATGAACGGTGGTAGGCGTAAATCCATATCCCAACGTTAAAAAAGAAATATCTTAAATTTTAAAAAGCTGTATTTAAAATACTTCCACTGATTACATTTTAAGCTACATTCTTTTCTTTTAAAGTTAATTCTTAGGACTCATTGAACTCTTGCTTTAACTGATTAATTGCCTCGTCTTAACTATACATATCATAAACTTGTATAGCTTGTGGTGTAAAATATAAATTATATCTTAGATAATAAAAAAATATATTATATTAGCAATAATATAATTAAAACAAATAAAACATAATAAAAATAAGGATATTACGGCGTCAGTCTGTATGCTAATTAACTTAAGAAATATCGTGTTACACAATTCTATAATCAAATAAACATCTTGATACCATAAATGTCTCAAAATGCCAAATGTTCAACTCGATCAAAACACAACTTTAGAGTAAAATATTACATGTTATAATATATTAATTGGTTTATATAATAATGAAAATAAAACAATGAACAGCTTTATCCTTACACCAGCAGTGTCTAATGGGATTTCCCACTAGTAATAATTAAAACATAACTTATCATATTTTTACCTTAAAAAAGAACTAACTTCTTTACAAACTTTCGTCACGTTTTAAACCCCTCTGGGGTAAGATTTTTAAAGCATCTTTCTTTAGTGCTCTTTAACAAAACTCCAATTTCCTAAACCCAGAGAGGTTCATGCTAATTTAATATTTTTATTAAGAGTATATTATTTACACACATCATATACATGCATAATTATATATATACTCTCTGACTGCCGTTTTGTAAGAACTCGACAACTACTTTCTACATGAGTTTTTTAGGTAAGAAATGTACGTTATCTGAACAGCTAATAGGACCTCTTCACTATCACAAGTGACAATTATAGTTAAATGTTTGAAAAAATTCGGCTGGGTGCTAGTTTCTAAAGATACAATAAGTTGCAGTGTCGCTAATATTTCGCTTATACTTATTAAAAATATCATTTCTACTATAACTTATCACTACGTTATAAGGCAGTGGTAACGCGCTCGCTTGGGAACTCGGTTTCCCGAGTAAGCGGGTTTAAATCCCGGGTCTCGCAACTCTGATTATCATGTGCGAATCATTTCCAACGTGATTATCACTTGTCTTAACGGTAAGGGAAAACATCGTGAGGAAATCTATATGTCTGAGAGAACCTAGCAAGTTTTAAACAAACATGTGAAGTCCGCCAACCCGCAATTGGCCAGCGTGGTGGACTATGGCCTGATTTCCCTCGTACTGAAGAGAGGCCCGTAACCAGCAGTGGGACATCAAAAATGACTGAATACATACATAAGTTATCAAAAGATTGCCCGCAAGCTACAGGGCAGACCGAGATATGTATCTGTTATCTTCCACACGCGTGAAATCACAAAGACGAAAAAATTGTGGTTTAAACTCGATTTCTTAGGAGTCATTAAGCATTTATTCGTCTTTAAATGAATGAATTTTAAGGTATCATTAAAATATTTCTATAAAAATGTACATATACTGAGCATATTGCCGTTATGCATTAGGTATAGATTAGGTATAGAAAACGATTTCGATGCTCGTGAATGCACACAGGATAGGTAGGTTTATGAATACACATTTTAATTTTAAATGTGTATAGGTATGTTACTTAAGCTAATTTGTCTTGCAAATATAAAGTATTTTCCAATATAATTATTGTATGTAGAAACAAATTAAAAAAACGAAATTTATTAAATTTTAAATATAACAATGATTTGCAAAAATAGGCAATAAGTGTACAGAATTAAAAAAATGGACATACATTACTTACATGCCCGAATAAAATATTGATATTCATATGATAATTGATATTGTATTAAAATCACTTGTTTATAAATCAGTAATATAAAAAATACCCTTTTATCGTTTTAGCATAGAAAATATTTTTTTTAATATTGACATGACCATGATCTCCATTAATTAGGTCATGAATAATTAATATACACAGGTATGTTTAAAAAATATTAAAATGAATATTTTAGTCGAAGCTATCTAGAATTAAAGCTATTTTTTAACTATAAACCAAACTGCACAACAAATTTGAAACACTTACTTGTACAGGGCTAAAGTCAGGATCATTCAAGTTCTTCAAAAACCAGAGCACACCAGGTCTCAACACTTCTCTCAGTAACAATATGAAGGATGCAAAGTAATACACATAGACCATTCCAACTAGCCAATGTATGAACATTATAGTCCAAGGGGCTGCATTTAGACTTGACTCTCTGTCTTTCAGTGTAGCATCAAACATTGATAAAGAACAAAGATCCAACCACCATCCACATACTAAAGGTATCACTCCAATCTATAAAACAATCAAAATTTTTGTAATATACTTATAATTTGTACATGTTTAAATGTATCATAATAATTGTAGTGAAAAAAAAATGATAAAAGTAGAAAAAATATGGAAAAAAATTTGATTCTCATATAGAATTATTAAATTGGGTAGATACATTATATTGTTTAAGCAATTTAAATACCTAATTATTCTCAGTAATTATCCTGAATATTATGTGCTGAAGTAGATATTACATAAATTTAAAAATAAAATGATTAATAATTGTTTTAACAGAATATTTATTTTTTAATGTTTCATGATATTTCCAGAATAAAAATATTGTGATGTTAAAGTAAGATATTTTAACTATAAGTGAAATATCAATTTAAATAAAAATTAAAATATATAATGTATAAGACAAACATCACATAAAAACCATTTCCCAGCACATAAAAACCATAATATTATCTGCATTTTTAAACAAAATTTAGATATATAATAATAATAAGAAATAGTAATAAACAACTATTAATATATTTTTAGTAAAATAAAATTATTACTTCATCGTATATACACTATCCAGGTCCTTAGGAAACTATTTAAAAAAAATTTGTTTTAATATAACCTTAATAAAGTAAAGTACTAAAATATAGTAATACTTGAAAAATAGTTTGTAGTACATAATAAAGAAAAATGCTTACATTTTGCTTTACTGATTCTTAATTATAGGTTCATTGATTTCATTTGTATAAACAAAAAATAATTATTATTAAGTATGTTAATACTAATAAGATATAAAATAAAACTTACTTCAACAACGGACAACAGTGCTACTTTCACAACTACATAGCAGAATCCTAGTGCTTTCTTTGCACTTCTTAATCTGAGTAAAGAAGCCATTCCATGTAATACTGCTAATATAGCCCCCACTATTACATATCCAGCCAGTGCTGTCAGAAGACCAGCAAATGGACCTTCTGCAGCTAAGCCAGCTAATGCTGCACCCAATTTTCCAATATGGTATGGGCAGAATGCAAACACAACAATAAAAAATGCATTAAGAGATACAACCCAAAACACATGTTCTAAAAACACCATAGATCCATCAAGACCAAGTAATCTAGCCCAGGTCAATTCTTCAGCTGCTGCGCGATCCCATTCCATAGGATTCCAATTTGCTTCATCACCAACTAGTGGGTCATCTGCAGGTTCACCATTTGGTTCCTCCCTTGCCCCACCATCATCACCAGCACCCTCATTTACATGATCATTATTGTTATCTTGCAAAGGAATATCCTCAGCTGGAGGAGCTGGTAAATTTTCTCTTTCCATCCAATCTGGACCGCCACCATGCATGATCTGCTCCCTCAGCCAGACCAATCCAATGAAAGAAAACAGTGTACATGTCACAACAAAACATCCAGAAAACACATCCTTAGCTAGATTCTCTGCAGACACAATATCAAATGGTAGTGATATCACTGGATCCAATGAGCCAGAGAATAGGCAGCGATACGTCCGGCAAGCAGTGAGAGGCACAATCCCGAGCCATGCGAGTGCAACCAAAGTATAGTGCAACCAGTCTTTAACAGCAGATGCAACCGACGTCACTAAACCGCCAACCACATCACGAATAGGCAATCTTCGAGGCATATCCGGAGAGTATATCGGCATAAAAGAGAATCGGTGTCCACACAACTCGCATATTTCTTTTCGTGAGTACCTCATCCATTGTACTAGACATTCTTGGTGAATCCATTTTATAGAACCTGTACATATGCAAGGATGAAACAGGGGCCGGTCAGAGGAAGCTTCGGATCTACAGAATCTACAGAAGTCCGCACCGGACGAGTCCGAGTCCATCATTGTTCTCAATCCAGTTTGTCAGCTTGATTATGCGATCTGCGAAAGTTGACGTATTGTATTAATTGCGATAAATTTTGCATAAATACAACGTGCAACTGACAGATTTTCCATGAACACTGACCGTGATATATATGTTAAGCACATATATGAGTAAAAACAAGGAATTTTTCACGAGATAACGAAGATTTCACTCTATTATAAATTAAGTATTTGTTTGTTAACCACACAGAAAAGTGTAGTGTGACCAGCTCTACCTACTGAATCTGATAGAAAATACCACATTTTCTTTCTTATATTGCCATATTTATAAATTAAAGAATTATTTATATCATAAAAATCCCGTATTGCAATTTATATTAAAAATTACATCAAACCAAAGTGTATTATCTATGTTAATTTTTTTGAAGTTATACTTCTTTTGGCACGTTTGGAAAAAATTATAAGAGTAAAATTTTTACGATTTGTGCGCACACCGACAGCCAAAAACTAAAAAGTGACATGATGAAGTTAGTACACTTTCCTTTTACAAAAACAGTGTTGTGACACACGGGATGAAATCTTTAGCTAATTTTGTTCTGTTACGCCAAAGAAGTATAACTTCTTATGTGCGTACATAAGTACACACACACTTTTTTTTATTTTAGTCAATTATGAATGAGAAAAGTTTATTTAATAGAAATACAAATAAATAAATAAAAATTAAAAATAAATTACTTTTACTTAAATATAAGTTGTGTAATATACTAATATTCAGAGATAATCACGGAACTAGATTTAAAATAGATAATATCTTTTTTAGTTTTATTTTAACTCATTTATTTATTTGTAATTTAGTTGTAGTCTCCCTTTTTGTATTTAATGGTAAGCATTTTACCTTTTTCCTCCGCCAGATGTCACGATCACTATGACTCCCAGTATATTGTGAAGCTCTACAATGTATATGTTTTTTTTTTCATTTTATTTAAAATTTAATAAAAGGCACAAATTTTGCAGTGCCAGAATACAAAGAAAATGGATATCATTTGTTCCAAAAGACAAAATGAAGAAATTATCGGCTAAAGCAATAAAACGACAAAATTTGACAAAATCGTAATCTTTAAAATATAAAGTCGATTATGGCTATGTGGACATCATTTTAAAGAAAATGATTTTAAAACACTTAAATCGTCTACAGGTGATTTTTGTTCTGTTATTTTTGACATTACATTTTACACAAAAGCATTATTACCAAGTTTCAAGTAATTCTGATCATAAATAATTCTTTGCCCATATAACTTTTTTACCTTCTTTTATAATGAATTTCGAATATATATTTCTTATTTTTTATCTTAAAGCTAAACACCACTTTCTGTGTATTTCATATTAAGCTAACTATTTCTGTATAGAAGCAAAAAACCATATACAAAAGGGATATCATAATAAATTACTTAACCTCAAACTAAATGTAAATAAGGCATAGGCCATATGTGTGGTACCCTCCTTTCGTGAAATCTTCCCAATCTTTCTTTCTACTGGCCTCAAAAATGTTCTTTTTCTATTTTTTTGTTTATGTTGTTGTTTCAAATGTCACTTACGAATCGTCCTAATGTCATTTGTCATCGCCAAAAATCAAAGTCAAATTTCAAAGTGTCAATCTTAAAAGTGTCAATTTAAAACTCCCAAAAAATGGGTTTACGTGGTTGTTTATATTGTTAATACTCATTTTCTGTTTTACCAATATTTTTTATCTTAGTGAGTATTACTTAATTTGTTTAATCTTATGCCATGTGAAATGAAAAACTGGCAATTGTCTTAATTTATAATTCATTTATTCACTTTCATAATAAAATGTGTACATATTAACCTTTTCTAAATTGATAAGCAAAAATAAATTGAAAAGTTAATAATATTATACCTATTAAAGATATTTACTCAACAGAGTAACTAATATTTTAATAGTTTGAAGATCCGGTATGTAAAAGACGGGCCGAAGATTTTGATTAGTTTATTGTAATTACAGATGAAAAGGCAAATTAAATAAAAATCACCCGAGTACTACACCTGTGATATTTAAAATGAATTTATCAAAGGAAACCGTTATTAAGATCGATGAGCCCTTGAACAGACTCCCACAAAACAATGGACAAAATGTGAAATCCGATATTAATATATTGTGCTTGGATATTACTCCGTATAGTCCTCTAGTACAATTTGCGTGCTGTTCGATATTTGTATTTATTTGCTATTTAGCATATGGATATTTTCTAGAATTAATATTTTCTGGGCCTGAAGTCAAACCAGTGAGCCTTTATATAACATTAATTCAATTCTTAATAACAATGGTGTTAAGTTACATTGAATCACTTATAAGAAACCCAATAAAAAGAAAGTAAGTATAGAAAAACGAAATAATTTTTATAATACTATCATAGTAGTATTACTATGACTGTGATTGAGTAGAATACAAGTTATTTTAAAAAAATATGATTGTACAATCCAATATTGTCCTTGGGAGGAATTTAATTCCTCCAATATTACTTATATAAAAGATATAGATTAGTCCATACAAACAGAAAAACAGACAAACAGCTCGCTCGGGTTTGTCCATACCTATGAATATGTTGTCTTTATTGTGTAATATCTCTTTAACTATTATGTATTATCTCTTTAACCATTTGTCCAAATTATGTGCAGTAAAAGGGAAAAGTCTTTTGTTTTTAATATTTTAGACAACAAATTTACTTATTTTGATAAGAATTCATAATTGTTGATAATATGACCAATAAACATGACCTACCGATTTAAATGATTTTTTTAAAATATAAAAGTTAGACATATGCTGTCGCTGACTTTTTTGTAGGCATTATTAAGCTCTACAACTTTTTTCTAGAACATAATTATATATCTCTCCTCATTAAGGCAGCGTTCGTAAGAAACGTTTTCGTTCGACCGTTTTTTCTCTGACTTATTTTGCAAATCCGACTACCACGAAAAAGCCTGTTCATTCTTCGGGTTAACATATAACCTATGACACTCAGAAAGAACGTGGCTTTCTATTGGTAAAAGAATTTTGAAAATCGGTTCAGTAGATCCAGAGATTACCCCCTACAACGTCACAAACTCACAAGATCACAAACTTTACCTCTTTATAATATTAGTATAGATTTAAATTTTGAACTTAAATTAATGTACCCTTACTAAACCCTTTATATTGAAATTTATACAATGACATATATATTTTTTATAATAAATTCTGACTTGAAATTACTAATAAATTAATTTTAAAAATATTTTTTTTTTTAAATTACAGAGTACCAATAAGAACTTATGCAATATTGGCTGCCTTAACATTAGGTACTATGTCATTTTCAAACTTAGCTTTAAGTTATTTAAACTACCCAACTCAATTGATATTCAAGAGTTGTAAATTAATACCAGTGATGATAGGCAGTATTATTATTTTGGGGAAAAGATATGGATTCCTTGATTATATAGCAGCCATTATCATGTGTATCGGATTGACCATGTTCACTTTGGGTAAGATTGCATTGTTTTCCTATAAAATTAGTACTAAATTCATGATATATTTTTTTATATAATGTATGTGACTTATTATTAGTTTTATTTATAATTAATTTAATGTATGAGAGAGTTGTACTAGGTTGTTGTCTATATTGTCTTACAAACTCAAAAAATATAATTCAATATATTTATTTACAGCTGATTCAAAGACATCACCGAATTTTGATATAATAGGTGTGATAGTTATATCTCTAGCATTGCTATGTGATGCAATTATAGGCAATGTACAAGAAAAGGCAATGAAACAATTCCAAGCGAGTAACAATGAAGTTGTGTTCTATTCATATGCAATAGCCTGTGTATACTTGATTGTGATTACTGGCTTCAGCGGCATACTGACAGATGGTTTTAGTTATTGTGCTCAGGTATTTTATTCTTATATGTATATACTAGGGACTTACCCTCATGTTGCTCAGATGCATCTCTATGTACATTTTTTTTTAACCAAACCGTAATAATGAATTAGTATTTTAAAATAAAAGTAACCTAAGTTACTTTTTATAAAATCAGTTCAGCCGTTTCGTAGATTAGCCAGAATAAACAGACAAACACTGAAAACAATTTGAAAATTGTGTTTTTCTTATAAGTACCTTTTTTTTTTAATCCATTTACGCACGACGTGTGGGATTCACCGGCGTAATACAGCCAGTACTACCCACTAAAACCCAACAAAACCTTCCCCCGTCTTAATGGGGCATCGCAGGATCGCTTACGCATTCAACTACGACGCCCCGACAGCAGGTCTGCCGAAGCAGACCACCACAACCATGGGGTTGTTCCAAGGTCCACTCTGCTATCAGAGAAGTACCAGGAGCAACCCGCAAGGTACACCGCCCCCCGAAGAGGGCCACCCCTCACCGCCCACCGAAGTGGGCAACCTCCCTGTGCGTTTCTAAGCTTCGTGCCCGGTTGGATTGCCGATTGATACTGAGCCCCCCCACCACGACAAGGTGAACGCACGTTGGGGGGGTTCTTATAAGTACCTTATATAATTTCAAAAGCATTTTGTAGAAAGGCTTTTATTTCGACATTACAAACAGATACTTCAATTTTATTTGTCTGTATAGATAAATTTGCATTTTGCAATCTATTTTAAACTGAATGCAAGGAAATTGTAGGATGTTTGTGTTACAATGTCATATAAAGGTTGTATGTTTTAAAAATAAAATAAGTTATCTTGCAGTGATAAATGCCCGATTTCACCAACATCACTTAAGCTACCACCTACATATGGGATCCCTAGCTTAAAAGTTCCCCTAAACTAGCCCCTAAATTAAATTTCGTTTACCATCGTCAGAGCCCGTATTTGTAGTACCTATATTTAGGTGGCATTTTATTTTATTTTTTTAATTTTTAGGTGACCCCTAGCTGTCAGTAAAACAGAAACTGTCCCCATAAAAGCCCCCTAACCATGCTTAAGGGATCCCTTAAACTTAGGTGATGTTGGTGAAATCGGCCAAAAGTCTTCTAAATTGGAAACTCAACATTAACTTTGTAGTCATATGTAGTTGTATGTTATGCTAAAATATATATTTTTTTAAATTTCAGAAACCAACAACAATGTATTCAAACATATTCCTGCTAAGTATTAGTGGGTACATGGGTCTACAAGCAGTGCTCACGTTAGTACGAATATGTGGCGCCACCGTCGCAGTTACTGTTACAACTATGAGGAAAGCTTTATCGATTGTTATATCGTTCTTGTTGTTCAGCAAGCCTTTTGTTTTTCAGTAAGTATTAATTTTGTTTTATACTACCGAGTAGCGACTCACCCTCGCTTTACTCGGCTTCGTCCCTAATTAAGTTTTAACGATTAATAAAGAATAAACTATATATTTATATATACATAAGTATAGAAAAGTAGGTAAGTACTTTAAAAAATAAAAAAATTATATCCCATGTTTGAGAAATGATTGTTTCCCCATTCAAACTTTCACACCTCTTTTTACACTCTCCAACTGTTTCCATACTAAATTACATCTAAATCGGTTCAGCAGATTAAGCAGTACAAGGTAACAAACAGAGTTATTTTCGCATTTATAATATCAGTGTCATATAGAAGTAAATTTTTTTTCAGATATGCTTGGTCGGGTATGTTGGTAGCATTGGCGATCTATCTCAACCACTACAGCAAGAAGAATCCTCACTATGTTCCTATGCCTATTTCACAATGTTGCCACTACCTACAATCGTTTTACCAGTCTGAGTATAGATATCTTAGGATAAAAAGCAAAATGTATGCAGATACTGTATAAAATTACTCCAGTAAGTGGCAAGTTGGAAATCAAAAGCGTTTTAACATTTTCGTAGAAATTCTTAGTATGTAACCATTCATGGCAACAGTTAAGCCAAGTTATCATTTTGAATTATTGATATTATTCTTGTTAATGTTAATATAAAAATCACCATTTACAAAGCATTAACCAGATTAATATTTAGTGAAATTATTATTTTTATATTCACTAAAGAAAAATCTTAACTTATATGAAGTAATAGAGTACTCACTCATGATATTTATTTATATTTAAAAATACAATATGATATTGAAATATAATATATAAGTATAATAAAAAATAAGATAAAAATGACTGCTGAAAAGATTTATTATTCTGTTTTCAATGTATTTTATCTTTATGGTATTATTTTTATTTGTTTTTATGTTAATATGTCTAACTCAAACATATTAATTTAATTTATTGTTTATAAATTTTAACAATTTACTATTTTGTATTGTAAATCCAGTTTAAATTATTTCATATTGAAATTTTTCATTATATTTATATTATAATGCTGCCCATTTAAGTGACTTTTCTTCGAAGCAAACATGCATTTTTGTATTTAGAAGTAAGTATGGGACTTGAAGTAATTTACCTGAAAAATTATGTCTTTCGAAGAAAAGTAATTTAAATGGAGCATATTGTATTAAAATGCTCGAAAAATGCTCGCAAATTGTATTTAATTTATAATGTGTTTTTTATAAAATATTTTTGAATGTATTGATATTAACAAAGAGCCATATAGAGTTCTATATTTAATTATTTAATTTCTCGATTCAATTTTACGTATATAGCGTATTATATATAGTACATAAATATAAACATCAGTATGCTCAGCACGAGTGACCTAACCTAAAAATTTTATAAAATTTAAGAGCTAACATATTTTCATGATTAAACCTTTTTATTGTTTAAATACATTTTAGAGTTAGAAATAGCGCAGATAGCCGACCAATAACTATTGCGTTATGAAGATTCCATATCGATATGTACCAACTAACTTTGACCGATAAAATGTAGTCCATTTTGTCTTTGTATAAATAATGTTTATTAAAGTATACTGTATATTCATAGAACATAAAGAAATAAATCTGTAACTGATATGTAAACTTTTGTCGTTAGTTCTGATAATATCTATTAGGAAGATGTTATCGCCGCCATTATGTATCTATGGCAATGACTTCAATGTTGTCGCCACAAAAACAGTCAGTACTCAGTACCTATACAAACAAACCCACTCACTGCACACACTTATATCATACTCACATCTATACAGATAAATAAAATTGAAGTGTCTGTAAGTCTGTTTATAATGTCAAAATAACAGCGTTTTAGTAAATGCATATGAAGTTATATACGGTACTTATTAGAAAAACACATTTTTTTAAATATTTGTCTGTCTATTTGTTCCGGATAATCTCTGAAGCAGCTGGACTGATTTTGACGGGATATTTTCTGGAAGATAGCTGATGTTATAGGGAGTAACATAAGCTATTTTATTTTAGAAAAAGAATTAGGGTTCCGCTCAAAAAAAATAAAACGTACCTAGGGACGAACCCGAGCATAGCGAGGGTGAGTCGCTAGTTTATCATAATACTAGCTACCATGCGTCCTTTTGTTCACAATGGAGAAGCTTTCTGATGTTGTTAATATATTATTTAACGCAATGGAAATTATAATATAGGTCAAAACTTATAAATCAGTGTTTTTTTTTTAATATATCAATAAATGACAAATTAATTTAAACTTCGGTCGTTCAGGTCGTGTGACGTCACGAAATTATTCTTACAAGGGCAACTTTAAAGTTTCGTGACTTTTTCATTTGTTGATGTATTTTAATAATTCATTCGTATTTTTTCGCTTAAATTTTTATAATTAGATTAATACAAAAAAAATTGGGAAATTTCTCGCGCAGAATCCTAATTCTTTTTCTAAAATAAAAGTTAAAAGTTACTTCTTAAAACATCAGCTATCTGCCAGTGAGTCCTTTCAGAATCGGTACAGCCGTTTCAGAGATTAGCCAGAACAAGCAGACAAGACAGACAAAAATAAAAACATTTTAAAAATTGTTATTAACAGATATTTTAATGTTATTTATTTTTATAGATTATTATATATTAACGTGATATAAGTATTATATGTATTAATTTTTCATGTCGATAGGCTTGTGCCTATATGACGAGGGATATAGTATTTTTAACTGACTTCCAAATAGGAGATTCTGAATTCTAAAAGAGTTATCCCTAAGGGAACAGGAAAATGTTATCGTTTAAGGGACGTTTTCTTCAGATTATTCTTTTATTGCACTGATGTGATGAAGAATTCGACATCTTGTTATGTACGCAATGTTGTAAATTATTTAAAATTTCTCTAATATTTAAAAAAAAACAGTTTTATTTGTGTTTATGTATTTTATTTAAATTTATATTTTATGTATAAACAGATTAAAATTTTATTTTTTGAAAGAAAAAATGGTTTTCAGTAACTTTAATTATGTTCATGGCTCGATTTCCGTTCTCGATTTTTTTGGTTGATGTTAGACAATCATTGTACCTATATCTATGCATATATCTCTTTATGTATCACAGACTTTTTACATAAGGAAACCCAGTAATGGATGTTATGTATGAAGTTTTTAATTTTTTGTTTATAACATTACCATACAATAAACAATATAAATAAAACTATTTTTATATCAATGACATTTATTTCATTGTATGTACAAAATCTTATAAATCTAACAGTTTCATACAAAAGTGTCCAAATTTAAAGTGTTCGATTACTTGGAATGTTATAAGACACTATTTTTTTTTTTCATTTATACAATTTCTAGGATGAAAATGATTAAGTGATTAAAGCATATCTTCAATACTTCGAGCAGTTAGCTTTGACAAATAGCTACCATGATATTTGTGGCGTAAAACTGTCATCAGTCGAACAATAATCAAATATATTTTAATTTATACAATATTTATATAATAAAATGTCCGGATATTGGTCAAATTAACAGTACACAGGTCACAATTTCTAACTAATCTACAAATTAAATATGCCCCCTTATTTCTATCGCTCGCTCGAAATGTACAATAACTCTTTGGTATGTGGTCCTAAAGCTATATTTATTTTTAAAAGGAATTTGGCCCCTTTGCTAGTAAGATAAATTTAAAATTACAGAATTTTAATTATCTATGATGGTCGTGAACAGGGCCGGATTATCCATAAGGCAGTATAACTACCTAGTCTTGGCCCCGCATCGGCTAGGGACCCCACGCATGGAGAAAAAAAATTTGATAATGTCTTATCGAGTGAAAATTTAATTTGAAATATTAAAAAAATACGTGAAAGTTCCACCATGAGGACTAATTTCTATGAAATCTACCTATTAGCTTAATTACGAATATAATTGTGCACGCATTGTGGTAGAAAAAATGTATTTGAATAAGTTACAAAAGGGTGAAGGGGCCTCTAAAATTGAATTGCCTAGGGGCCCGACATGGTTAATTCAGCCCTGGTCGTGAGGAATTTTCATTGAAAAAGAAAAAAAGACTATTTACGCAAAGGAGCCTAAAATTTCAGTCGAGGTAAATATGCGGTATTAACTCTGTATATTTTAATTTCAAAGTGGGCCTTCAAATATTTTAATAATAATTTTAAAACGTTACACGAGTTATGTGGTAATTATGTAGGGTTTTTATAATGATTTTAATATATTTTTTTACAGAATAAATTATAATTGGAGTTTGCGTAATCTCGAGTAAATCAATATTAGTCGGCCCTCCGGTGAAAGTTATTTTGAATGAATTTATATAGAAAAAAAAAGAAAATAAATCTTGAAGCTACTTTATATAACATCCCATTATTTTTTTGGCAAATTGGAAATAGATAGAAAGCTATTGTGTATTACTAAAATCTATCACTTTTTCTTAGTGATGAATATTTTGCATTTTACAAACCATTCGGAAAAGGGCCGACCACTTGTCCATAGCACCATGGAACAAAAATCAACTATTACACCTATTATATTATCTGTGATAAAAAAATATCACATTAATTTAGAATGATACTTACGTATTAACGCCACCGCTGTAGATTCTCGGCACTTAAAACCCGCGAAATTTGTAGCTGCGGTGATGTATTATTTTAAGGATATTAGCTTTTATTGGAATATTCAAAAAATATATTTTAAGCCACCAAATCAGTCGATTTGGCGAGTTTTAAATGCCGCCAATCTACAGCGGTGGCGTTAATACGTAAATACCTTTAGAATATGAAAATACTGTCATTAATTTCAATTTCCAACATTATTGCTTATTTTAGTGAACTTTTCATTGCAAATAATCCTAGACGTGCCTAAACTACCGCTAATAAATAAAATATTGTAATGAAGGCTATGAACGTTTTGAACAAGGCGACACTTGTGTATGAGATGTTTTACAGATTAAAAATGAATTATAAATAAATTATTTTATCTTTTGATTACAAAGATTCTCTCTTTAAAAAAGTGAATGACTTTTATACAGCAGAAGTGATTGCTTAAATTAGATAACAATACAATTTCACTCATTGAAAAACAAAACAATATAAAGAATATAACAATAATTAGTTATATTTATCCAGATCTATGATTAAAAAAAACTTTTTGATTAATGATCATCACTTTCATATCTTATCTGTGAAATTAAAAAACACCGATCAAGTACAAAATGATTAAAAATGTAATGAATTTACATAAAATATACAAATCAATTGACATCTCAACACAAGAATCAATCATTTTAGCGATAAAATATCTATGAGCCTTCATAATTCCCTTAAAAGTTAATTTCCTGTGGACTTAATTACGTGTGATTGTATTCCGACTGTATGCCATTGATATACAAAAACTCAAGATACACAATTAGCATCTCAAAAGTGTCCTCAAAAAGATGCACATAATTCGAAATTATGCGGTTTTTTTTTTCAATCTCTTTTGTTCATTGCTTTTGGAATGATAAAATTAAAACCCACGATGTTTCGTTTAAAAAAGTTCTTTATGTGATGTGCGTAAGTTCGAATTTGTGTTTGGACAATTAGAACTTTCGATTTCTGAATTTTATTCTTTGGTTTGACTTTACGTCATATATCGACGCCACTTTTTAAAGAGATATTTGTTAGGTAATGTGTATCTATGTTTTTATACATCAATGCTATACTCCCATCCTTTCCCATATCTACAAAAGAAAATGAAAAGCCGATGAATAAAAACGACAAGCTCACACTTTCCTGTATAGTTTTAGTAACGCTTTGAGTATAAAAATACTAAAATTAGAAAAGATGAGCGTGTGCGGAGTTAGATATCAGATTTTATGTGTCTAGTTACTGTGTTAATGTTCTATAATAATTACACTTTTAATAACATTACATATTTTAAATAAAATTATCTTTTAGGTTTTTTTCGCGGATTTATTATGATTTTTGTGTTCCCGAAGTTTCGAATGCGTTACAGCAATCATGGTCACGGGAGAGATCAGTTCATCCCTTGACTGCGAAATAATAAATCCGCGAAAATTAGCGAGAGATTGCAGAAATATTTATATGGCAACTTGTATTTTCATTTCATTATTTTAGTTTGGCTTTAAGGCCATAATGTATATTCAATATGGTGAAAGTAATCTAAAATTATTTGCAAAATACAAAATATTTTCATGTTAGAATTTTTGAGCATGAATTAATAATTGATTTGTAAATACTGCAATAATTGATGTTATCTGTGAATGATTAGGAAAAAAATCTATTTCCCTTTGCACTATGGTGTATTTATCGCTAAATTCAACAATAAATAGATAATAATTTAAAACAGTTAGTTATAATTGTTGTTAATTCCACAGCCGGATTAGAAGTTTAGGGGCCAGGACCAATTCAGCTAGAGAAAGCGTCTAATAATTTTGTAAAGAAATTAGAGTATTTCCTTTGGACTTTCCGTGCTTTTTTAATTTACCAAATATAACAAAGCCACAAAAAATGGGTTCATTAATTTCATATAAAAACATTTTAAGGTATCAGTTAGATCAGGATAGTAATCTATTGAGCTTGAAGCTGAACTGAAGCTCTGGTTACACCCAAATTGAATCGATTCTATTAAAAATCAACATACATTAATTACACAACACAATCTGATATCTAACAACATAATTTTTACCACACAAGGCGGCCTGTGGACGATTTGACTTCACACGTTCATTCCGCTAAAGACCCTACACTCACAATATCCGCTCCACAAATAGTTCCAGCACTTGCAAATCATACAAAAACTATCATTTAACGCACTGCGCGTCTATATCACTATCACAGCACTAATCTTGCACTTCTCTATACGGTATTTCACTGGTTACTGTGAACGACTCGAAGTAGTGATTGAGGAATTCAAACGTCGGCCGCTTTTCTGGTATTGCGTCCCAACACTGAAGCATTAACCTATATATATCGTCTGGTAGATAATGGCCGACAGGTTTCGGCATTCTGTAACCTCTTTCCACTTGTTCTATCACTTCTTTGCCGTGCAATCCTGGATATGGTATCTGTCCGTATGTGAATAGTTCCATTAGTAATATCCCATAGGACCACACGTCGCTTTTGATTGAGAATCGACCATATATAATGGCCTCTGGTGCCGTCCATTTTACAGGGAACCGTGAACCTTGTTTTGGACAGTATTCATTATCTTCAATCACTCTCGCTAAACCAAAATCGCATATTTTGGCGACATTATTCTCTCCTATAAGTACATTACGCGCGGCTAAATCTCTGTGAATTAGGAGTTTGGATTCGAGATATTCCATTCCTGATGCGATTTGAGCCGCAATATAGATTAGATCTTCGAAATGTAGGGCTTTCCCTTCGCCGTTCCTTAGGAATTCTAGTAAGGAGCCTTTGCACATGTATTCTTGTACGATGTAGACTGGTTCCTGTGTGGAACAAACGGCGTAGAGTGCTACAAGCCGTTTGTGGCGAAATTTCTTCATGATGGCTGCCTCTTGGAGGAAGGCCTGTTTGGACATTGTGCCTTCCCTCAATGTTTTCACGGCGACCTGGAATGTATTTAAACACACTGTTAACACACTTTGAATAAGCTCTATTAAAGTGTGAATAGGAAAATGCTCAAGTATAGAGTCAATATACTTTATCTACTTTTTCTCTGCCACAATTAAAAGGACAAGGTGACAAAAAAACCACAATAGTTGTAACACCGACCCCTAAAACCAATTATTTTGCCCTATCTGCTCCAGCTTTGGACATCTTGTCACCTAATTATTACTCTACATTTCCTTTCCTAATACCCTATTTTAGAACAGCCTTTTTTACGTCCCACAGCTGGGCACGAGCTTCCTATAACTACAAAGGGCCATATAGTCTACTACCACACTGGCCAAGTGCAGATTGGCCGACTTCACGTCTTTCAAAAACTTAAGATTCTCTCAGACACGCAAGTTTGCCACCACTGCCTTTTACGTTTTTTGGTTGGTTTTAGAACTTACCTCAATATTATTACACCATTTGCCATAATACACTTCGCCAAAGTTCCCCTGACCCAGCTTCTTTATCAGTTGTATTTGACTTCTTGGTATCTCCCATTTATCTCGCAGTTCAGGACCTAAGTCCCACATCTGGGGCTCGGGTTTCGGACACGGCCTCGCGAGCACGTGGCAAAGGCCTAATGCGTTCTCTGTAATATGTGAACGCATTTCATTCGGATTATGATTTGGCATTTGTTAGTTCGGCTATTGGAAAGTTATAGTTTTATGTACAAAAGTGGAAGGAATAGAAGATATGTTATAAAATTATAGTGTACAAATTGTATAAATGTTTTTTTATATGTTATTAGGGCTCAGGTCTTTGCAAATGAGTTATATAATCAGATCTCGTAATGTTTTTTTTTTAATATAACAATATATTTACATGAACTGAGATCTTAAAGATATCCTTTGTTAATGAGTGCAAATTAACATTTATTTTTAAATTAATAGCATTAAAAATCATAAGGTACCTATAGCATTTGTTAAAATAAAATTTTTATACCCTTTGCCCTTAAAAACAGAATATTTACACTAAAACTAATAAAAAATATTTATGTACATATATCATACCCAAATACCTAAAATATATATTAATTAATTTAAAGTAAAACTCACTCGTATACGACATGACTAATGCCGGTAGACTCGGGAACGTTTGATTCGTTGCAATATAAAAACCTCCATTATCTAAGGGTTTTATTTTGTAATGCTTTACATGGTATCCTCTTCCTTCTTCCCAGTCCTTGACACTAAGACTGAAACCATGTGGGTTGTGTTCTGCCGGTCTAACTAGGAAAGTTCCTCTGGGATTGATCTCCGCTAAGAGTAATTTGTCAGCTTCTTTCCTTGACACGTGAGGGAAGAACCAGCTGTAATGATAAACGGTTATTAGTTAGTCGATTTAATGTTTGGTATATTGAAAAAGTTATAATTTTGCTGTAGGAAACTGTAATCTAATTAAAAATACATGGAAAATACATACATAATGAAACTACATACATGTATGAAGTTAACTGTCTTTTTAATTTTTTATTTATTTCAAAAGTACCTACATATTGTTTCTTTAAAACATTCACTATTTACAACCACACAACAAAATATATATATACGCTTTATAAAATCACAAAATCATTGGATAGAGCAGTTTTTCTTGTCCAACATTACAAATTTAACATAAAAAATATAAAATAAAACCAAAATAAGAATAATCACTTACTCTTCACATTCCACCGAACTCTCCTCTGCCACAAAGTTGGCTGGCACCAAACCCTCTCTCCGCGTAGTTAGATGGAGGACTCTCCACCAATCAGTCTCTGCATCGCTTAGAACCTCCATACGATCTCCTTTCCGAAACGATATATCGGACTCTGCTCTTGCGGTGTATGCGCATAGTGCTTTCACTACACGCCGACCTCCGTTTGATATACCTGTAGAATAAATAAAATAAAACGTGGAAGTTGCTTTGGTAAACTTTTCATAATATAAATATGATTAACTCTTCAACAATATAAAAATATCTATTCCCTTTAAAATAATGAAATTATTAAATAAATATGATTGCAAACATTAAAAAAATTCTAACGTAGTTTTTGTTTTAACTTTCCTCGAACAAATAATCTCAATAAACATTTCATGTATAAAAGCTATACTTCAATCACTAAAACCCATTATACTATATCGACTTAAAGTACCTTTACTTTGTTTGGCTAGAATATACGATAACAGATCAAAAGATTTTGGTTTCGAGTCCCAGGTTCGGTCCAAATAATAGGTAATATACGTGTGATTTAAATAAAGGTGAAATATATTTTTTATAATATTTATTGCTTCTGAATTAAGCCTATATCAATATTTTTTATTATAATTTCTTAACGAAAAATTGTGCGAAATTCAAAGTATATAATTTATTCGCACACCATTGGTCAGGCCGAATATAACCTCAAAGTATTATCATAAAGCGATCAGCGATTTTGTCGTCACAAATTGAGTCATCATTTTTCTGTGTATATCATACTGTGACGTCACGCCTAGCGCGCAATATGGCGTGCGTTTAGACTTTAGAGTATCCGTATATTTTTAATCTTTTTTTGTACTTAATTTTAGTTTTTTGGAACTGGATATTTTTTTACAATTATATCACGATGTTAGCTATTGTATAAAAAAATAAAAATAAATCACGCGCATTCCTTATTGGGTTTTCCTGTTACGAAATATTCAGTAATTTTTACACCCCTATCCCTATGCCTTGGAGATCACATTATACTAAGGATCTTACGCCTTATCTCTCATTGTACGTGTCGAGTTGTCTTTATATCGGAATTCGAGAGTTAAAGAAATAGAGAGTGCACTTGTGTGTGTGTGTGTGACTGTGTCTCCCGCACTTAGTGTCAGTGAAATTGGCCACCGAAACCAAAATAAATTAAAACATTACTTACAATTAAAACACAAGGAAACTATGTTTTATCAATGAACAAAGTCGACTAGCATTTTGTCGAATCGAGTGATTCTTACGACCGTTACGGCGTTCTAATAAATTAACCGCATTTGAGAAATAGCTATGTGAATATTTTAAACCAAATTAGCCGTCAAGTTACGCATTTGTATATTCATAAAGTAATGTCGCCAGACAAGAGCGAGGGAGGCGTCGTACTTTGGCACGTAGCCAATTTGTGATTAAGTTTACCAAAACCCTAACTTTATTTGCAGAAGGGAAGTAGTAATTTTTTTTTAGGATACATCAAGATGCCAGCGTAAAATAATTTCGAAAACAAAAAATATAGATATGACTAATTTTGTTCTATCCTTACTTATATTATACTAGCATTGCCCGCGGCTCAGCCCGCGTTCAGAATCAGATGACCAAAAACCAAATTCTTAGGTTTTACATATTAGTATACTCTTACATTGCAGTTTTTGTATTTTTTCTCAGAAATGACAAATTTTCTCGCGGTAAAAAGTATCCTATATGTTGACCCGGATAACCAGCTATCACCATACCAAATTTCATCAAAATCCCTCCAGTGGTTTTTTTGTGATGCGGTAACAGACAGACAAAAGTTCTAAAAACTATAGGATTCGGCCTCTGTATCGATAATAATGTCTATTTCAAAAAGATTTTCCAAAAAATATTTAATGTACAGATTCGGCTCAGTTAGAATTTTATTATATGTATAGATATGGAATGGCGTCTTGTTTGTCTGTTTGTCATTTTTTGGGCAGTATCTGTGCACTGGAATATTTTAGATGAACGATATATTTTATTATCTCTGCACAAGTACCTACCTACTAGTTCCCAGACAGATAATTTTTTTGTAATTAAAAATATCACTAATTCTGCATTCATAAAGTAATATAGGTATAGTATGTTTTGCCTATAATATAACTAATAAATATAATGGTCTTAAAGACAGGTCACTTTTTTGCTGATATCTTTAACTATATACAAATAAGTACACACAAAATTAATCCATTAAAAACTTAATCGAACAAAAGTTATTTTGACTTAAAGTTTAAAATAAGTTATTGAATGAGAATATCGCTCTAGTTTGATCGCTAGAAGATATTTATAAAGGCGATAGTAAATTTGGGTAGCGCTGTAATAAATTATTATCCCTGAACACCCTTTTCACGACGGCTCTTACATGTTTAAACAAGGTTATTTATATATATGAAACTTTTTCTAAAATAAGCTAACCCAAAATGAAACTGGGGATATATCGGTTAATATTTCATTAATAGATAAAAAAACAGGCTTTTAAAATATAAACATAGCAACTCTACTGCAAATAATTTAACTCCCACAATATTTTATTTTATACTACGAGTAAAATTTCTATAATAGATATTACCTACATTTGAACCGGTTTACATTAAAAAATTCGTTACTTTCAAATATCCATCTAAAATATTAATTATAGTTTGAGTTTATATATGTATGTACAATAACTATCGAAATAACTTTCAAAGTTATAAAATGTATGCGCTAAGTTTTTTGTATTGATCTATACATATGTATAATAAAATTGTATCTAAGCCGAATCTGCACATTAAATATTTTTTGGAAAATCTTAGTGAAATAAACATTATTATCGATCCAGAGGCCAAATCTATATTTTTAGAATTTTTGTGTGTCTGTCTGTTACCGCATCACATAAAAACCACTGGAGGGATTTTGATGAAATCTGGTATGGTGATAGCTGGTTATCCGGGTCAACATATAGGATACTTTTTACCGCGGAACAAATGACAACGGGAAAATATCTAATTTCTGAGAAAAAATAGAAAAACTGCAATGTAAGAGTATACTAATATGTAAAACGTAAGAATTTGGTTTTTGGTCATCTGAACGCGTGCGAAGCCGCAGGCAATGCTAGTGATCTATAAAAATACATCGTATTACTAGTTCTAGTGTACGAATGTTTATTACTTCTTCACACTAAAGTGGTTGGGACGCATTTTGGATGAAAACTTAGTACACACTACACAGATAGACTATCACCTGAAGTAAAATATATGCAAATAGTCTAAGTAATTCAATTCAATTCTCTAGTTAATATTTTCAAAGCGTGCCAATTATAACATGAATAACGCACTTAGCTATACAAAGGTAAATCGTTAGTCTACTACAAAAATTATAAGGATAAGAGTGTATACTGACATGCTCCAGGGTTGCGTGTGCGCACAATATCTGCAGGTCTGCGAGACACCGCTCGGTTGTTCGGCTCGCCTGTATACCGCGTCTCTAATGACGGACATGTTGTGAATCCCGCTTCGTTCTTCTTGTATGCTGGATATACTGAAACAAAAAAATCCATTATGAAGTTTTACTTCAAAAGAATTTTTAAAACATCTACAATTTTGGTTACGCTTAATAATATCGTGTACAGTAAACATAAAAGGATGTACGTTTTTGCTGTAACATTGAAAGGACACGAGCACATCTTGAAATATTTGTAAATGACTGTGAAAACCGAGACTAAATTAGCGAGTAACGACTTTCCGGGAATACTGAGTAATACACAATAATTAGGTACTTGAATAATATGTATTTTATTTAATGCTTTACTCGTATACAGCTCTATACAATGTATTTTAAGTTAAAGGTGAATTTTAAAAGTAAAGTGAAAAATAAGTAGTAAGTACATCGTAAAGAAAACAATCTTTAACGGTTGGAGCAGTTTAAAAATACATTAAGTGTCAGGTTGAGTATCTGAACAGTTTTTTTTTTAGAAAAACTAAGAAGCCAGCGAGCTCTTTAGAATAAAACAGCATTACATTAACTTTTATATTTTTTACCTCGCTTCGAGTGAACTCGCATTTGAAACCACGGTTGGTTACTTATTATTAAGGAGGATTTATTCATCACACTTCAAAATGGTATTGGGTTGTTAGGCTAAAGTAACTTTTTTATAAGGCAGTGGTAGCCCAGTGGTAACGCGCTCGCTTGGGAAACCGAGTGAAACGAGTTCAAATCCCGAGACTCGCACCTCTGATATTTTCATATGCGAATCATTTCCAGCATGATTACCTACTTGTCTTAACGGTGAAGGAAAACATCGTGAGGAAACCTGCATGTCTGAGAGAACCTAGCAAGTTTTCGAAAGACATGTGAAGTCCGCCAACCCGCACTTGGCCAGCGTGGTGGACTATGGCCTGATCCCCCTCGTACTGAAGGGAGGCCCGTGCCCAGCAGTAGGACGTTAAAAATGGCTGAATACAACTTTTCTATAAAAAAATAGCATCGCCCCCGGCTACGTAACGTTTGTGTATAATCGCTTCACTCCTATGGATAGTTCATTGTAGTGCGATGTCTAACTATAAACTTCCTGAATAAATGGACTATAAAATGTGAAAAGAATTTTTCGAATCGGATTGGTAGTTTCAGATGCAGAGCATGTAAACACAAACAAACAAAAAACTGGAACTTATTAAGTATAGACAAGTATTGTAAGATATTTATAACTAGCGCTAGATTGCTTCCCCATAAACTTTTATCCCCATTTTCATCCCCATAAGGAATGATTACCAGGATAACAACTATCCTATGTCCTTCCCAGGGTCTTAAACTATCTTCTTATCAAATGTAATTTAAATCGGTTCAATAGATCCAGAGATTACCCTCCACAATCTCACAAACTCACAAACTTTACTTCTTTATAATATTAGTATAGATAACAAAATAAAATAGTGTTAATTGAGCGATGTTAAAGCAAATTACAAAACAGGCCTCTTGATCATAGTTTATCAAGATTTATGCGTATGCTCCGATAAAATTGATTAATTGGAGCTTGCCTACAAGTCTAATACGTCCAAGAGACAGGGCGATCGGAATATAGAATCTATACATATAATAAAATTCTAACCGAGTCGAATCTGTACATTAAATATTTTTTAGAAAATCTTATTGAAATAGTCATTATTATCGATACAGAGGCCGAATCTATAGTTTTTAGAATTTTTGTCTGTCGGTCTGTGAACGCATCACGAGAAAACCACATGACAGATTTTGATGAAATTTGGTATAATGTAGCTGGTTATTCGGATCAACGTATAGGATACTTTTTACTGCTGGATCGCATCCCTGAGAAATTTATACTAATATATATATATATATATATATATATATATATATATATATATAAAAGTTACTTATTTTTATGCAATCAACGATCGGTACCTCAAAACGAAATCCAATTTTAAATCCATTGTGCCGATTTGAAAACATTTCATCAAGTGATACCTATTGAATTCAAAAAGAGATCCTGTCTTCTTTTGAAAAGCAACTACAGTAGATAAATGAACGCGAAAAATAACGGGAAACTGGGGCGCGTTGACAAGAGCGTTTATTGAGCCAAGCATATTGATATTGCTAAGGCTACTTACACTTGACCGGAGTTAAATAGGTCTTTGGCCGGCGTTCAACCTTATTATCACGACTTATGTATAGGCATTGACTAATGGCACTGATTGATACATACACTTTGTGATATGAATAATATACCTTCTATACCAATCAACTAACAAACTACTATAAATTGTTTGGTTTTGTACTAATTGGTGCTAGCTATATTTATATAACGATTAACAATGGGCTATTATTAGTTTGTGATGTTATATACATGATAACCCAAATATTGTCGAATGTCAATACATATCTATACTAATATTATAAAGAGGTAAAGTTTGTGAGTTTGTGACGATGTAGGGGGTAACCTCTGGATCTACTGAACCAATTTAGATAAAATTTGGTAAGAAGATAGTTTGAGACCCTGAAAAGGACATAGGATATTTTTTATCCCGGAAATCATCCCTTAAAAGGGTGAAAATGGGGATGAAATTTTGTACTGGGAATCAAGTTAGGGACGAACCCGAGCGAAGCGAGGGTAAGTCGCTAGTATATTGATATATTGCGTTTGTTCCAAGCAATAATTTTGAAATAATATCAAACACTCTAAGGTTCTATACAAAATTTGAATATAAAAAGCTAAGTATCTAACAAGAATTAATAACTTGAAAAACAAAGGCAATAAGAAGAAAAAGTTTGTAATTTTCACAGATTCTACGTTTTAAATTGGCCGAGACGAGAAGTAAAACTAAGGACATTACCAACTCAAAAAAGAAAAACGCATCACTATGAACAAATAAATGCAAACAGACGCTAAGTGGCCAACTTTAAACATCGTGCGAAAAAATCTGGAGCATTGTTTTTAAAGAAAATTGTTTCCGCTCAAGCATTCGAGACTGGAAATTTTGCAGTATTTAACTTACATGATGGTGTGCAAGCATTAAAATAATATGAATTTAGTATTATGTTAATTATATGTTAATTGACGTAGATAAATAACTAACGACCTACCTAACGTAGATGTTAACAATAAGTAATAAGTGAAATATGGAAAATATAGTACCTCAGTAGTAAGGATATGAAAGATATTTTTAACAAAAATATAGATAACAATTTTCTTGTAAAACGTAGGACGATTAAAATGTAAAAAAGTACTAAATTAACAAAGACACTCAGGAACTTAGGTTTTTTGCTTACAACGGCTTATTTAAAGCCCGCCGCAAAGAGGATTGCTGAAAGGAGAGAGGCAAAAAATGGGAAGTATCAAAGTGCAGGCAATGTACGAGTATGAACCATTAACGAAACGAAAAGGCGAGTTCTATACAGATTCTCTTCTAAGACGCGCTGTTTTGAATTTTCAAAATGCTGACACAACTCTATGGCTTTACACTAACAAAAATGCGCATTGGTGTTATTAAGTAATAAACACTTGTATGAACAATGGTCTTTGTTATGATATTATGGGTATGGAGTATGGACTATGAGGCAATACATTTTGTGATTGCTTGACTAAAGATAACAATAACATCTTGTTCATAATATTTGAAGCAATTTTTAAAATGCCATAAAAAGCATTTTCATTTGATTATCAAATATCCCAATCTCTATATTATAATAAAAAAAATAATGCTTTTCGTTGGTATGTGCATCAGTTGAGAACGGCTCTAGCTACCTATACCGTCTTGGCTATTTTTTAAAAATGTTCATAATAGTTCGATAAGGTTTTTAAGGAAAAAACATTACATCCAATAGTTGCCAGGAAAATTGGATAATTCGGGGTAAACTGAAAGTGCTTTTTTAACATGACCTTATAAATTAACTAGCCTTGCCCGCGGCTCCGCCCGTGTTCAGATGACCAAAAACCAAATTCTTTTTTTACATTACAGTTTTTGTATTTTTTTTCTCAGAAATGAGACATTTTCTTGCGGTAAAAAGTATCCTATATGTTGACCCGGATAACCAGCTATCACCATACCAAATTTCATTAAAATCCCTCCAGTTGTTTTTCTGTGATGCGGTAACAGACAGGCAGACAAAAATTCTAAAAACTATAGATTCGGCCTCTGTATCGATAATAATATTTATTTCAATAAGATTTTCCAAAAAATATTTAATGTACAGATTCGGCTTAGTTACAATTTTATTACCTATATGTATAGATCATACATAAAATTAAAATTTTGACAGGACAACGTCCGTCGGAACAGCTTGTCAATATTAAACATTAAAAAAAAACAAATATTAAACAAATTAGCACCAGCGAAGTAAAATTAGCGGCGCAGTACATACATTCTTCGGTAGTCCGCGAGGGGTGAAAGTACGCAAATATTGAACTCACCTAAGGGTCTGTCGGGGTCGTGACGGCGGCTGCAGCACTTGTTACCCATGGCGCGGCCCGCCCGCTACGCCGCGCCAAGCTGCTTCTGAAAAGAAGGATAATTAAAATTAATAACATTTTTTGTTAATTTTTATACATATATCACTAGCGACTTCCTCACTCTCTTCGTTCGGTTTCGTCTGTAGTTGCTTTTGAAGTTAAACTTCTTTGCGCGCATGAGAGTAAAATTTCAAGGTCACGTTACGCAAAACCGGCATGGTTGCCATAGTAATCGGTGTTATGGTTGGAAAAATAATATATAGGTTTGATATTCTTTTTGTTGCTATCTTCAAAGATTTTTATAGTTTTTTTAATATTATATACAGAAAATGCCACCTTTTGGCGATGTTTCTTACTAGCAGTGGCCTATGTTACTCCGTCCAGCAGATTCGACGTGAAGGAGGAAGAAACGTACACACACAAATTTACGAATATTAGGAACAAATATTAGGGTGGTAAAGTTTTGCCAACTTAAAAAATGAAAAAAAAATATAATTGAAGCAAAAGTACCTATTTTGAATAATATTAATAATAATATGCTCAATGAATTAGAATGTAATACAAGTAAATGTCTAGTAAATATGTATGTAACTTAAATAAACACTCACGCGTTTAATAAATAAATACAAGTAAACTTCAGTTTTTATTAGTATTATTACAGTTCTTGCTAAAATTTTGAATATTAAACAGTGCCAATGTAAACGTGTCTAGCAATGATTTCACAAGGGAGCCTCGATTTTGTATATATTAGCATAAGTGAAACCGAAAAATCAATACGTAGACAATGTTGCATGAATACAGTAAAAAATTCCAATATACTCGAATTTCTTTTCCCAATAACCACTAACTAAAAAAAAGGTTAGTAAAGAGCTTTTAGGAAATCATTGATAAACAGTCTAAAGCACCATTAATCAAACCCATATCAAGTTGTTCTGTTATCATTGTATCAATAACAAATTCCCACGACTCTTTCCGATAATAGTAATACGTGATCGGGAATATCACGACCATGGATATAATCGAATATGTATTAAGCTCCCCACTTTTTATAACTTTCCACTTTTTCTGTTAGATACGGTTCTTGTAATGAGCATAAATAATTCTATTGCAGAATTATCTGAATTGTAAGTGCAATATAAATGTATATCATAATTTTTATATCTATAGCCTATACTTATCTATAAAATTGTAACGAAGTCGAATCTGTACATTAAATATTTTTTGGCAAATCTAATTGAAATAGACATTATTATCGATACACAGTCCGAATCTATAGTTTTTAGAATTTTTGTCTATCTGTCTGTCTGCCTGTCTGTCTGTTACCGCATGACGAGAAAATCACTGGACAGATTTTGATGAAATTTGGTATGATTGTGGTTGTTTTGGTATGACTGTGGTATGATGCTGGTTATATCCGGGTCAACATATAGGATACTTTTTACCGTGGGAAAATATCTCATTTCTGAGAAAAAATACAAAAACTGCATTGTAAGAGTATTCTAATATGTAAAACCTAAGAATTTGGTTTTTGGACATCTGAACGCGGGCGGAGCTGCGGGCAATGCTAGTCTATAAATAAAATTGAAGTGTCAGTCTATAATTTCAAAATGGCTATTCCAAATTGCTCATCATACCAACGGTTATTTGAAATATACATTAAATAAATGTTTGTTTACACTTAGTATCCACTAAACTCCGGAACATTTTAATGAGACTTTCACTGGCTAATGAACATTAAGGTGAGAGTGACATAGACTAATAATTAACTATACTTTTCAACCAACTATTAAAACCAAAAGATCTCACTTCTAAGTGTACTTCTGTATACATAATAAATGTATATATCTCAATCGTAGTCTCATTTACATATTAAGCTATTATCTAGTTAAAATAAACACTTTATTCTAACCTACTTTCTTTATCGTTTCATTATTTCTAAGTAACACATCAAAAAAAAATTTGAAGAAGTAACTTTAAATTATAATCTCATACGAAAAATATTTATTTCGTAAGAATTACAACACACAAACTACTGTTCTGTAAGCAGATTATCAATTCGTCAATAATCCCTCAACGTGTCCGGCGTACACAATGGCGTCCGGTGGATCGGTTGACTGTTGAATGACGATCTGCAGGACGAGTCTTGTGACCGATTTGACGTCTTGAATTACGATGGGATTAAATTGATTAATAAAACGTGATATTATAACAGACCAGAGTATTATAAATTTAATATGATTTGTCCTACGATGGTTTTGAATTTTTTTTTCCTTCATAAGCACATGAGAATTTCTAAAAATATATAGTACCATTTCTCGTGGCCCTTTTATCTCATTAATATACAATAGTTCAGAATAACATATGAGGTAAGGGTACGCAATCTATACATCTATACAGATAAATAAAATTGAAGTGTCTGTTTATAATGTCAAAATAATAGCTTTTTAATAAATGCAATAAATAATTTTTTTTTACTATTTTTGTCTGTCTGTCTGTCTGATTGTTCCGGCTAATTTCTGAAATGGCTGGACCGATTTTAACGGGACTTTCACTGCCAGATAACTGATGTAATAAGGAGTAACTTAGGCTACTTTTATTTTAGAAAAAAATAGGGTCCCACAAAAAAAATAATTAAAACCAATGAAAAATTTAATAATATCTGATTCAAGGGAAGTTGTACACATAACCTAGGGACGAACCCGAGCGAAGTGAAGGTGAGTCGCTAGTGATAACACATTAATAATGTCTCACTTAGTCTCGTCGACAATGTAATTGAGATTCTAAAGTAAAAGCAAAACGATTGTTACAGCAGAAATAATGCAATGAATAACAAAGTTTATTAAATGTACGATACCAAGAAAGCCAGTTAACGAACACGCTCTTTGAATCATAATATGCAGTAACAATATTATTTACAGGAGACTTTTCTGTTATTGGAAATACGTTTATTGTTCTTGTATAATGAATTACAATAACGACAATTGTAACTTGTATCGTAAAAATATACATCTAGTAGAAGTCCCACAGAAGAATATATAAAATATAAAAATAGGTAATTATTACATAATATACTACACAAAGTTAGCAACGCTTGCCTTTCATGTTTAAAAAGTTATAGTAACGAGAATGTTTTAAGACAAACCATTTCAGCTTTCAAAATGCCAGTTCACTGAAATAACGCAGTGAATACTAAATCAGATTCAGTCTACGTTTTCATCTAACGTCTTAGTGGATAGTTTAAAAGTTATTGTAAAAAAATCATCTCTTAATATTCTTATACAAGTCTGGAAATAGATTATAAGTAATCTATTAGCGTAAATTATATTGCGGTTATTTTAATATCATCGTTAACAAGGTATTAAAACTTATTCAGAGAGACTTATGCACTTAAGTATTTAGGTGGCATGCCTAAGTAACAATTGCAAAACAGCATTGTTGCTAAATAAAGATATAAATAGAGATATATGCTGCAGTTGCAGAAACGTCGTCGGCTTATAGATATTTATAGATAACAAGTTAATTATAAGGCCTTAAGAAATTTCTGAACATGGCCTAGTTGCTAAAATATAGATAAAGACAATAACTTTTACATTCAAAACAATAATTAAAAAAACAACATCAACACAAATAATTAACTTTATATAAATGCATGTTATAATTAAGTATTTTAGCTAATTTAGTGCCAAATTTATAATCCACTGTAAGGATTACGATAAACAAACAGCATTTCAAATTCCCAAATTAAAAGAGGCTCTTATCCGAATTTGAAGAAAGTGAAGGTGCCAGTTGCGCGGGGGACGGACGCCCCAGCGACCTGTTGCCGCCAATCAATACCATACAAACGCAATATTACTCATATACCCGCATAAAAACGCAATAGAATACATCCAAATCCGGCTACAAATGTTCAGATTTTAGACAATAAAATAGAACAAATGAGCGCGAATATGTTGTATTTAGATCATCCAATTTATGAACAAAATGCTAAAAAAAGCATTATTCGAGAACAAAGGATTCGATATGAAAAAAAGAAATATCCGTTATGCTTATTAAAAGATAACACAATACAGAAACTGAATCTGCAAGTCCAAATTGCTTTTGGTTTACACAAGAGTGTCATAAAAAGGGCAAACCAAAGTCTGTTTAAACATATAACGAGATAAAAGGAAATAATCGATGCGCAAACACTAAACGCTTATAACTTTAATGCAAACATTACATTTACGGTCGGGAAATGGTATTACAAATCGTTAGACGACAATATAGATTTTATCTACAGTTTCGCAATTGAGTTTATAGAACTTAGAAAGGAAAGACGTATTTGCTCGTCGCGCATGTACAGAGGCGGTCAATAACCCGGTGGGCGGAATCTTGAACTTGAACTACATAGAAAATCTAGCAATATCAAATTGTAATCTTCATAAAATTTATTTAAGTATCACATTCAATGAGGAAAACGAGTTTAACGCAGCAAAGCGTAAAAGAACCACAAAGATTTGATATGCCTGAAGGTCGGAAGACCTTAGTAATATTGTAATTTATTTTTTACTTTATTTAAACACGTATTGTATTTATCACCTTTATAGTGTACATTTTTATCTTATACGAGGTAATTTTACATACTTCTAGATATTTTAGTATATTTGAAGGACATATAATTCAATTAGTTTCGTATTTTATATTTTTTACCGATTTTAATAAGGAAGTGGTAACCCCTTAGTCTATCGTTATTTTCGAGAGTGGAATTTATATGGGATAAATTTCAAAAACGCTATCCCTAAGTGTAGGATAATTTTAACCTTTTTATTGACCTGGATGTCGATGTACCTATTTTGTTAAAAAGTATCTCTTATTATTTTATATTTATTACTTGCGACTTACCGTCGCTCCGCTCCGGTCCACAAATGAACCCCCGTTCCCCTCCCCTCCTACAGCAGGACTTGAACCCATGACTTTGGCTCAGTTTGTACTTTGTAGTGATCACCAACAAAAACCAAAAGTACAAACAGA